TTCAGAAACATACGATGGTCTGTTTGCAGTGACTCACAGCACATCAATAGCAGAATTGTCCAGAGACCTATAGAATGTCAGGACTCTTTTTATACCATTGTGCAAGCACAAGTACCAAGAAACATACGTTTCCTATCATTCAGCCCAGCTTTATGCTAGACTAATACATAATAATCTCTCGTGCTTGAAAACACTCCTGGGCTTGCATAGATGTGGTCAGCATATTATTATTACTATTAGCATCATCATCATCGCCACATATGTTTCTGTTGAAGATTGCATAGATGCAATTACAATTTGTTCTTTGTTTCCATCAGACAGCACTGTGTCAATATATACACTGTGGATGGTATGTATGTTTAACACTGTCCTCTACAAGCAGGTTTCATGGACACATGGCATTGCCTGATGTGTCTGTGGCTGATTACAACTTACTGTAAGATACTGGTTTACCTTTTGAAAAATTCTTCCTTCTGGTGACCATTCAGCATGGAATATTCCATCCTGAGTGCTTCCCTTAAGAATAATAGATGGAATATTTCAAGGAAACCAGAAGGCTTAATAGACATAAACTCAGACACACATAAACAAAAGAAGAGTTGGTTTGCCCATAGTGAAGAATATCTGTGACTGCCACCTTGTGAATCTGAGAACTTCAGCTATGAAAAGAGCCAATGAAGGGTAGGAGTCCCAGAATTTTTTAATAATTATAAAAATTTTTCTTCATGTCACTGTCACTTTGGTCAAGTTTCAAACTTCTGGTACCTGCAGTTAGCACCTGCCAAACACAGTCCTGCCAAAGACCTACCCCAAGTGTATCAAAACATCTCCCTGTGCTAAGCAGGTTTCTGAAGTACAGAGGCTCACAGAGATCTTCCCCTGCATTACACGTGCTGCAGCTACTGAACTGAAGCAAGGCAGTCTGTGGGTGTGGAAACATGAACAAATAAATGTAGGGAAGAATATTACTTTGTGTGAACTGATACATAACAATTATCCCTGTTCATTCTTACCCTGCATAAAATGGGGTAATTCACAGCAATTTACCTTTCAATAAAAGGCAAGTAAACTGCCCTGCATTTACAGCATGGTGAGAGCTGTCAGCAGACAGACACCAGTTTGTGGTCACGAGGAGCTGATGGGATGTGCTACTGCATGGGACGTTTCTGCACCTCTGTCCCTTTCTTTGGGACGTGTGGGGCCTGCCACACTCCCTGTGCTGGGCTAACATCGGGGCCACTGGGAATGCCATGGTTTAAACACAGGAAAAACAAGAATCAGCTCTGGGAAGGAGTGGTTTTGTCCAGGGAACAGTGAAAAGTCAGCTGATGACACTGGGATTAAAGACTGCTATGAAGGAGGAAACTAGATGTAAAGTTTGGCCATGCCATGCGAGAATAAGAATGGGACACAAGAGCAGAATATATGGGGATCAGTGGGACAAAGAGTCCATAAGGAAAGACAGCAGAGATGTGATCTGGTGTGCAGTGATAAGGAAGGCAAGGAGTAGCTGGGCAAGGAATTATGGACCAAAGGAGAGCAAGGTCTTGACAAGGATTTTATGGAAGGCAGGTATCTCACAGGGATCAAGGGGCAAACAGAAAACTGGGATGGGCTGGGGAGAGTTGGAAACAAAGGGGTGCACTGTGAATGAACAGATATCTGGGAAGAGAGTCTCAGTGAAGAAACAAGAAGGTAGGCAGAGTCAGAGAGGGGAGGGAGCATGGATAGAGAGCCAGGGATAAAGGCACTGGATGTGTCAGCCAAGGCCAGTGGCACTGGTGACAAATATTAGGACTTAGTGGGCACCATGTTTATGACAGGGAAGAATAAGACAGATATTAAAACCAACTACATGAGGAGAATGGGGCTTACCTAAAGACCAGCATCAGAGAGACCCAGAATGTAGATACAGATGAACTCAAGGGAAGAGGGAAGGAAAGCCTGTCTCCAGTGTGACCTTTTCTCTTCAGAGTCCAGAGCGGATTTTAAATGTCCTGATTGTTACTAGTTCTCTGCCAGCAGAAAATATTTGCAAAGATGTCCTTATGGCCACAGGTGATGAATGCAAACACATGCCTGCTCTTCATGAAGTTCAGGTCAAAGTGCCAACCTTGGTGAGTCATGCATGTACCAATATACAGCTGCCAGAGGTATTTTTTTTTCCAGTGTGATTTGTGGTAAGCCTAGGGATTGCCATGCCCATACATTACATGAAAAGAACCTTATTAAGGTCAAAAAGTTAAGCACCCAAACTTTAGGAAATACAAACTTCGTTTTCCTTCCTTGTACATAAGCTTTATGAATCAGCATTTAATTACGTGACTGTGAGCTATTTTTTCCACAGGTCCCCTTCAGAAGGGTCCACCAGGTAGACCTGTTCTGAGGCTAAATCTGGACTTAAGGAAGAGGTTGTTTGCAGGACCCCTGCTTCATTTCTTCCAGAAGTCAGAAAATGCATAATTATGTGTCAGGGAGTAGCAGATTAAGAAAGGGCACTCTGATCATTTAGGCAGCTGAAAAACACCTCAGGGAATTGAATTCTGTCCCTAAGTGTGCCAAACAGTCCAAATAAAATTCTGAGAAAATCCTTTAAATCACAGTTCTCTGTAGAAATTAATGTTCTATCTCTCAATTTTTTACTTCCTTAGTTTTGGACACAGAAAACTAACTTGAAAATTTTTCAGTCCTGCTGTAATGAACTCCAGAGAGTGACACCTTGGACTCGTGTTTGTTGTGGAAAGGAAGAACTGACTTCTTAAACTTTTCAAACTTTTTAAAATATGACTGGAAAACAGGTTACAAATATGTTCCTGTGGAATAAATACCAAATGTAAAAAGAATCTAAAATTCAGTGGAGAAAAGTAAAGTAAGCACCTGTATCTGTGAGACAAAGCTAGGCAGATTCATATGAGGAATTTGGCATAAAGCTTTACCAGTGAAAATAATTAATCATCACTCCAAAATCAAACCAAGAAAATCATCAGCTCTTTATCTCTTTAGGTCTTCAAATCGTGACTAACTGCCTTCCTAGCTACTTGCTTTATTCCTTGGATAATCCTGAAGTATTTGACTAATTACAGGATAACTTAATTAAATTATATATTGGTCTGTAAAACAGAGGAAGTCAGACTCTGTGGCCTAACAACCCTTATCTTTACTAATCCAAATGCCAGGTAGTCATTGTTGCATCTGAAGTCAGTTGAAACTTCTCTATGATTACATAAAAATCTAAATAGTGCTACACAGACAAAAACCCCCAAAATCTCAGATATCTCACTTAAGATACTTAAATACAGTACTTTTGAATGTAATCCCTTGCTAGGTCAAATTTACACCTATATGATGAGTCTGAAAATCTCCCCTTAGCTGGAAGGTAATCTTTGAATGTGCATTGTTTATTATTTATGAAACTTCAGCAATGAGAACCACTGAAATGCTCATGGGTAAAAGAATAATTCACTCCTTAGGACAGCATATGAATAGTGTCAGAACAGTGGACCAAAACCTATGAGGGGGTAACAGGTCATTCAGTCAGAACTGGGTGTTAAATGATGCAGAGAATTTGTGGAAAAAAGTCAGTATGTGATCAGTAATCAAGGACTTATGCACAGATAAAGGAAACAAAGAAAATTGCTTCAATCAACCCTGATAACGGAATTTCCTAAGATATCTACAGTTTTCAGCCTGATGTTCCTTAGCTTATTGTCTGACACACAAAATAAAATGAAGTTTCAGCTGAGCCCTGAGCACACTAATGACCCTCACTAATAGCCCTGAGACCCCTCACCTGGAGCTCACACCCATGAGCCCAGGAGCTCCATCTAAGCTCAGCCCTGGGCATTCCTTGCTTGCTTGATCCATATTGGAGGAGTGCTGGTCTCTTGTGGCCCTACTCCTGTCTGGTTATCAAGTCAGTTGAACTGGATCTAAACCTATGGATTAACTTCATGACTTCATTTTTATTTTTATTTTTTTGTCACTGTGGACCTGTCTGGTGGGCACTGGATCTAATCCTTTCCCCTGACTTTGTGACTTGGCCTCAGAACCTATCCCATCACCATTATACAGAATTTTGACCTGAATTTTTGGTTGGGCCTGGCCATCATCTCTGGGTTTGTCTGGCTCGCCTCTGGCAATGTGGGCTGAGACCTGGCTAGTAAGGCTCCCTCTTGGCTCCTGCCTCGCCTTCCTTTAAGGAGCAGCCCTGCTCTTGCTGCTCCCTGACAGATATATCCTGGTGTTCGGGTGCTCTGAGGGAGCAGCTGCCTTGCCATTTGGAGCAAGAAAGCAACATTACCGTTCTGAGAGGGAGGGAGAACTCTCCAGCCAAACATATCTAATTTAATTTTTTAGCCATAACAAAAGCGTGGTGACTGGTAGCTGTGTGTTCTGCGCGACTAAGTGCGTGCACCCAGAGCTGCAGTCTGACTGTAAGATGACATCAGGTTAAGCAGCATGCCAGCAGCCTCTCAGTCATCTTTCCTATTGCTTGCCAAGAGCTGTTGATGCTTCCCAAAACATGTGGTAAGAGAAGCCTCATGTGTGTTTACATTCAAGGCAGGATGAAGGCCTGGCCCTGACCAGACTGCCACAGTGCACTCCAGAGTCTGAGTCAAAACAATGCTGCTTTGACAGAGGCTGCTCTCTGACAGAGGCTCCTCAAGAGCTGGGCGAGGCTGTTTCCCAGCGTGTTCCTCTGCTGTATCTGTTTATCTTCCGTGACATTCCTTTATGTGAGAAATCAAGTGTGGGACAAAAAGGATTGTCCTGGGAATGACGGAAGTAAGGTCTCATGCTCGAAGCCAGCCTTGGTGAGTGGTTTCCAAAAGCTGGCACAAGCACGGAAGCTGTGTATGAGCTCTGTGAAAAGCTTATCTGTGTGTGTCCTCTGCCTGTTTCCCAGCAAGTAAATATCATGTACTGTAACCACCCTTGTAGCCATGCATGACAGAGATTTACAGGAAGGTGTTTACTTTCCTTTACAGATGTAATACCAACACTGCACAGCTTCTAACTACTGAAGCAGGCTTTCCCTTGGGAGCTGAACAACTCAAGTTTGAAGGGGATGGAGATCCCTCTGCTGAGAAAAATGCATGGTCTGGTGAGGATGGTGTCCCCTCTTACCCTCTTGGGAAGCAACAGAAAGGGATTAATAAGTAGGCTTCATGGGTAGGCTTGAGTCTGTTCAGCTGGTACTTTATGTTCTATCATGACAGTAGTGAAGTTTAAAAAAAAAGTTTCAAATATAATGGGGTGGGATATTGTGCCTTTTAATTATGTGCCATAAGCTGGGCAAACCAGTGGTACTTTAACATGCACAGGAAGAGCTTGAACATCCTCATTTTGGGCAACAGCTGTACTTCAGGGAAGTAAAAATCCAGTCTGAAGGATGGATTAGAATATGTTGTTTTAAAAACCCCTTTCTTTGGACAGAATGGAGTGAGTATGTGTGTGTAAACTCTGCATGTTCTTGTTAAAACAAAGGTGTTACTGATGACCAGAGGTGGCTGTCAAAGTCAGAGCAGGTGGCCAGCTGAAGTAACCTGTAGGGATGGTTAATGGGCTAAGAGGGACAGGTTTTAGTGGTCTGGACATGCTGTGTGGCCTGATGAAGCAGGGGTCAGGCCTTGCTATCCAGCTGTGACAGTCTCGGGCCCAGGCCAGCAGAACCTGCAATTGTGACTCTGAAACAGCACTGGCAGCTGCTTCACCAATAACTATTAGGGTTTGAAACGATGGCTGTGTTATGGGAAAGGTCTAACTGATTAATCTAGCCCTTCTACCTCATTGTTCTTACAGTACATTATTTTGTTTATTTTTATTCTCTCCCCTTTTCTCAACAATGTGCTGTTTTGGTAAGTTGTTAGGTGCACCATATGGCAGCAGGGAGGCTAAGCCCTCAGATGAGCCCATCAGTTCTTGTTTTCCCATGTTTTGAGGTGGCAGATTCAGCTGGTGCTTGTTAGAGCCTCAAAACTGAGCTGTACCATTCTGCTGGTAGCCTAGGATCATGCAGGAGGATTACACAACCTTAGCTTCTCTCCAGATTTTTTTTGTTATGAGAATCTGCCTTATTTCGAAACATAACTAAAGAAAGGGGAGAATGGTACTTCCAATTAATATTTACTTTCTTAATGGCTTTCAAAGGCTTCAGGTGGAAAGGTCCTCATCAGCTCATAAGGTGTAGAAGAGTGGCCACCTGATAGGACCTCACATTCTGGTAAATTCTGGAAAATTGTAGAAGCCCTGTAATGTTTTTTAAAGTTCAGCATGCTTGTCCAAAATCCCTGTAAGCCTTTGTCACCATAGTACAGCAAGTCTTAGGAAACTCATTGAGTCCATCATTCATTGAGTCCATCACCTCCTACCTCTAATTTTGCAGAAGTTCCCCAAGGGCTTCCTCCTTTTTCCATCAGGCTTTGTGGTTTATAACTAGAGGGGCAGAGCCATGTGAATTTGGTGGTAGTACTGCATTCAGAGTTGTATATAATGAAGAGCTGCAATTTGCTGGGCACAATGACCTCTGCTGGGATCTTTCTCTGTGCTGCAGGCAGAGCTAATGCATATGCAGCTGTTTTCCACTCGGTCACATTATGTTCTGTAGAGGTCAAGGCCCCATGCATTCTCTGGTTTTGCTGCCCTTTAGTACTGTTGGAGAACTTTCCAGCTCATGCTGTTTCCCAGAACAGACACTGTCCCACTAACTCCAACCTGTGGCTTCTCCCAGTTCAGAATGAAAGATGCCTGGCATGCACAAAGACCATTTTCAATGAGGGTGCACCTGACTGCATTGCTGGACTTTGTGGATGCTGTCTTTTCTTGCTTAGTACTGAAAACTCATATGCCCTGTACACAGAATTTACCCTGATTATTGCATTTCTGATAGGAAAACAAAAGCTTTTATTTGTCATAGTTTTAATCTCTGTATCTCATTCTGAAGATATCTACCTTCTCCTTTTGATTCCAGGCACATACATTAGTCTGCAATTGCTTTTGAATTAAATCCCCATTCTGTATTTATATTTATGCTTTATTCTTTTGGGGGGACAGCTTTTGACATGTCTGTAAGGATATAGAGCTCTGCTGATAGAATAAAAAATAAGTTTTAGTTCTAACACCCTGAGATCCATGTGTTTCCATTCTGAGATCCAAAGACGCAAGTGAATAAAATGTGACTTGCTAATTCTTGATTTTATTTCTTTAAATCTAGACCTCATGGTGCCTGGTCTCTTCTGAAAAGAGACAGTAAGACCGAAATAATTATGTCCACATTTGTTTTCATATTTTCTTGGCATTTCAGTCAACCTCTGAAAACTTCAGGCTGCAAAGTAACCTAATCAGCAGTAGGTTCAATTTTAAAACTATTTTCTATGTTGAAAGGTAGAGATATCATCCCTGGAAGACATCACTGATAAGCACTTGAATGTTGCAATTTGTAAAGAATATTTTAAAATGTCAAAAATAGAATTCTTGCTTCACATTTGATGATCAGAAAATACTCCAATACTTGTTTTTTTAATATAGTACAGGTGATAGAAATAACAGTGGGAGTCTGTACTATTACCTAAAATGGCTTGGCATGAAATGGTAGTAAATATGTCTGTGCTGATACTGGTTTAAAAAGCAATAGTGTGTCAGGTATTTAACTGAAGTCATTATAAACAATTACTTTTGAATGCAGTTTCTACTTGCTACATTCACTTGTCCAGGCTGGTTTCTTCAAGGGTATGTTTGTTAGCTTTTGAAGCAAACACCACCAGCTTTTAGGCTGTTTTAGAGATATTTGCAGCTGAAAGCATAATTTGTTACATCATACATGTTACTCTGTACTTTCCTGGATGTCAGAAACGACAGAAATACTTCACAACTAAAATGAATCAGACAGCTAAAAAGCCTCCTTTTTTGGAGGAAAAAAATTGTAGGCAAGGAACTGAGGATGAGAGATGAAGCAGCCCTGCCAAAGTTTACAAAGGAAAATCTATGCTAGACTAGGAATTGGACCCAGACATCCTAAATGTCAGTCCAGCCGTAACCACAAGTCTGTCCCTCTTCTGATTCATAAATACTACTGCAAATTAACTAGCAGCTCTAAGTCCTTGTGATACATTAGTCATAAATAGTGGAGTAAAAGTATTGCATTCTTTGTAAAAATGCAACACTTTGAGTTTGGGTTTGCCTTGGTACTAGTCAGCCTTTTTGACTCAAGGGTCATTGACCGAAATATGGGCTGCAGTTACCAGATTTAGACTTTGGCTGTTTGTCATTGTTGTGTGTCTGTAGCCAGGACTCACTCAGGGTACTACTCTGTGACAAAGAGACTACTTTGGTAAAAAGAGGACCTAGCATTCACATTTTAGCTGTCACAGCAAGGAATGATTGCTGCCACCTGAATAAGTGCCTTTTCTTGCATAGGTATCATGCATATATATCTGGGACATAGGCATGGGCCTTCAGAGTATTTTTACATGACAATAAGTTATTTGAAGCCAATTGACTCTGCTTCAGGGGTTTTGTAGCACTGTCTCTATTGTGGCTGAATACCTCTGAAAATGACTTTATAGCTTCTCAGAACTGAAGAGAAAATCCAAAAGGTGTCTCTGACCATCAAGGATGGTCTGAGTTTGCTCTCAAAACCTCAAAGAGCATAAGACTTTAAAATCCCTTGTTACTGCCTGGTGAGGCCCTCTCTGACCGAGGACTGATTAGAGAAGATGCTGATTGTGCACCTGATGCCAAAGATGGATCCAAAGAGCATCCATCTCATGCTCAAGTTCTATGTATGTATGATCTGTGGCTGACTTAGAGTCAGAATAATAAATGGGAATCATGTTGCTTGGCATGAGGAAATCTAACTATAATGCTGCTCACCATATTTTAGAGGAAAAATAGCTGTCAGGCATGCAATGATCCAAGTCTGCTAGGAAATAACTCTATCTGTACAGTGAACTTTGGGAAATCCCCCTGTCAAATTCACTGACTAGTGACTGTGAAGAATCACAGAACAATAGATATTGTGATTGGAACTGCTGCAGAAGTCATCTACTCCACCCACAGAATTATTCACAGAAGTACTATTGCCAGCACATCATCTGGTCAGCCCTAACTCTGAATAGCTGCATCCTGAAAACTGCCTAAATTGGATATTCTATGACCTCTGTGGCTTGTCTGTTCCAATGCTGCACTACCTTTATAGGAATTTCCTTCTTAATGTCCAGCTCCTGTGGCTCCTGTTCAATGGTGTATCATCTGACACTGCTGAGAAAAACGTGGATCTGTTGTGCTTGTAATTACCCTTCAGGCCCTTGCAGGCTGTTTGATTATTCTTCCTTTCACCTGCCTCAACGTGCCTCACACACTCTTGCCAATCATGTGCTCCAGGCCTCTGACCACTTCTGGTCAGAGTGCTAGACTTCTGCTGGACAATCTCCAGTTGCTCCCACCCTTCAGGCCCTTGCAGGCTGTTTGATTATTCTTCCTTTCACCTGCCTCAACGTGCCTCACACACCCTTGCCAATCGTGCTCCAGGCCTCTGACCACTTCTGGTCAGAGTGCTAGATTTCTGCTGGACAATCTCTGGACATCTGGACATCTGGACATCTGGACATCCCTCTGCAGTGTTCAGGTTCCAGAATGGATAGTGTGTCCTATGAAGCCTCATCAGCGTCAGGCACAAGGGAAAAGAACTTTCCTAGATCTGCCAGCCGTGCTGCTCCTAATGTAGTGCAGAACACAGTAGTGCCTTGTGGTGTCAACGTAGCATCAGTTCATTCAGCCTGAAATCCACTGTAACATCCAGACTTTCCTCCTGACTTTCACCTCAGCCAGTTCCCTCCCAGTGTGTAGGAATCATTCCAGCTCCAGTGAAGAACTTTGCACTTCTCTCTACTGGACTTCATGAGGTTTCTATTGCTACAATCCTTATGTCTTTGAGGTGCTTCTAAGTTGAAGATGTCATTTCATGTGTCAGATGTCATAATTTTGCATCTTCCAGTGATATGCTGAGGGTGCATGTGTATGTTATCCAGGTTCTTGGTGTAGCATATGGACCACAGGATCAACCTCTTGTGCACACCATTTATTACTGGGTGTGAGCAGATGCTA